TGGTGTATGATGAGTGGTGTATGATGAGTGGTGTATGATGAGTGGTGGTTGAACAGCTGTTGAATGTCCGTAACACGGAAGTTTTGCACACTAAACTTCCTTTGATGAGTAGTGACGTAGTCTCATGCGAGCTGACGCAGCAAAGTGTCCATTGGACGCCGCAACTTGCGCGACACAAGATGTGCAGCAGAATGGCACGCCGCAACTGCCGCTGTTTCTGACGCGTCCTCACCATGACCCCCCACCATGCCCTCCCCACACTCCACTGATCCGGAAAGCACCAGGGTCACCATGATCCACCGGAAGCCTGAGGTGAAGATTTGGCCAAGGACATGGGTGTGGATCTCTCAGTGTTGGAGCAGAGCCATGAGGACCGGCACGCGCCGCGCGGGTTTTTGTGGAGCTGGCTTCGGCAGCTGTCGGTCTGCGACATGGCGGTCATTTCGGTATGACCCTGCTCTTGGTGAATGGAAAGCACTGAGGCACTCGCAGACACGACGCATGGGACTGGAAAATACTGGAACCACATACGTGAATTCAGCACTTTTCAACATGTTCAACCATGGTATGCCGATCGGCAGTGACCAGTTGTGACTCGGCAGAAAGCCGTGCTGCGTGCTGTCTCGCTGTTTGCCTCGGCGCCATGGAGTGCAGGAGCATTACCAGGCCGCCAAGAAAACCGAGACTCATCCAGATGAAGGAGCTTGGCCGGCGTATCCCTCTGGTAAGTCCCATGATGAGGCGGGCACAGGGTTGGGTGAGGATTCACGTGGGCCGTTTTTAGGATTGGAAGATTGAAGATTCTATCATATTCCATCCATCCAAGAGGACAATGGAAACTCATAAGGAGTAGTCCATTGGTGGTGGTTAGTCCATTGGTGCTGGTTGCCTGGTTCATGTCTTTATATTTAGTTATTAATCTATATGTTATATGTTAATTACATAATCATCTATAATCTATTTTGTGCGACATCAGACTAAAAAAGATTCCAAATCCACAACATCGATTCATTCCTCAACGAACTCTACTTTACTGCCCGCTCATGCCTGCCACCCCTGATTGTATCTTTTATCAGGGGAAAGGGGACAAAAGATGACAGGTTTGCTTCGGTCTCTTTCTCTTCATCTGACTCTTTCTCTTTTGACTGAAGGGAACCCCGCACCCAAACCCTTTTGGACAGTCTCTCGGACTGTCACCGACGGAGAACGCGCAGACCGACGCGAACACCGAGGTCCCGCGCTCGTGACGTGGGGCAACCGGGGAGATCAGGAATGATCCTGCTTAAAGAGATGGAGTTTTGTGGAACCCCCAACACAGAGAGAGAGAGAGAGAGAAAGAAAAGAAATACAGAAAAATAGATAAACAGAAAGAAAGAAATAAACAAAGAATGAAATAAATACAGAAAGAAAGACATACAGCAAGACCAAAAGAAAGAAAGAAAAGAAAGACATACAGAAAGACCTTCCCTGACACTCCATGTACATTACCCAGACACTCCGGTTTGATGCCGTATGAAAACAACATTGGGGTGTTTGAAAAAGGAGTCAATGTAGGCATATATGGCATATATATATACACTGTATATATTCCATAGATGGAGTGTTGTGCTGATCAGGCCAGGGGTTCATCATTTGAGGGGGTCAATGAGGTATATGATTTCCAGTTTAATGGTCCCAGACAAGTCGCAGGGCTTGATGGGTTGTTCATGGTTGTTCATTGGGTCCATTGGATGAATTTTGGGAGAAAGACACCTGTGCAGACCCCGTCTCTGGTTCTTCCGCAGCCCCTGAGAGGCCAGTGGAAAGACCGGAAGTGGCAAGAAGTTCTTCCACAACATCTTGCCTGGGTCTGCCGTCCGTGACGTGGCGCCAAGAAAGAAACACAAACAGCAAAAAAGCCAACACACCAACGGGTGGCTTGGCTAGTAAACCTAGTCACCCCTGATGACCCGGATCGCTGCCCAGGAACCTGAAGAGTTCGACAGGAGAACAGACCTGTTTCTTCAGTTCGTGAAAGAACGTGATCCCCTGGTTGGTTCGGTTATGAAACACATATAGGCCTGCAAAAGGTTACAGGTCTATAGGCACTCCACAGCCAGGTCACGAACTGTTCTGAAGCCGATTCATCTGCATCATGAAGACCCACCCACCCCAATTAGCACTTCACCCATGCCCTAACTAGCACTTCACCCACCGTAGGACCGTGTCTTCTTGATGTCCGACCATCTGACAGACCTGGATGCCGTCCGAATTCCAGCGATAGGTCTAAGGGCAGTCCGAAGAAAAGACGCACGAAGCGACCAAAGTTCCAATGTACGTACTTAAGTCATGAGATGCTTTTAGGTATATTTCTTAGTTCATGAACCAATTGGGGCTCCGACTCACTCCATATTCCTCAGAAGTGGTTTGACCCCCAAAGCCACCATAACTAACCATCTCAGGAGGTAGTTGGAGGGCAAAATGTCGCGTCAGACACTGCGGGGTTCTGGGAGTTGCAGGGATCCAGGGGTCGATGTTCCGCTGGCTCAACACCCCCTCCGCCGCGGCCCGGGGCGGCTGTGAACACTCACTGCCCGGAACTCCGGCCGCCGGAACTCCACGTCCAAGTGCAATGGAACTGCTGGATGGTAGGTGAAAACATGGAGGAGCTCACCACGCGCGAATGTATGTTTAAAAAAACAAGTTACAAGTTCTGTTTTTAGTCTTTTTATATCCTGAAAAAGGAGCTACTGAGCAGCTACTGGTCCAATCTCCAAGTCGTGGCATCTGTCCAGATCAAAATGTTCAGGATACCTCCCCTGGTGCGCGCAAGCGAAGGTTGTTGGGTCCAGGATACGCGGAAGAACTGTAATGTGGCCCTCAGATTTATAAACCCCCCCTAGAATAGAGTCTTTTTTCCCTGCACTGATTTATAAAGGCCCCTAGAATAATGTCATGTTTTTTCGGAGGGGTAGTTGTAGTGGAATATTTCTTATTGTTGTAGTTGACTTTTTCCCTTTTGATTTGCTTTACTCACCCTCTATTCCTTATTTTCTTTTCATAAGCTCTTTAGTTTTGAAGCTTTCCAAAAGTTTCCAAAAGTCAGTGCGCACTTTCTTTATAAAATCCCTTATTCAAAAGTATTGAAAAACAAAAATCATTCAAGCAAAGGGGGTAGTCCAGCAAGCAGCTTTCTTCGAATAAAGTCAATCAGCTTGTGCTATATGGCTTGATCTGGAAATTAGCTCCTGATCATGGTAGAATCTTTTTAGGCTGTTTTCAAAAGCTCAAGTAACACTCAAAAGCAATGTCTCCTGATCATAAAAGAATCTTCTTAGGTTGTTATGAAAAGCTCAAGTAAAACTCAAAAGCAATGTCTCCTGATCACAACAGAATCTTTTGTGAATGTCATCAAAAGCCAAAATAAAACTCAAACGAATTGTCTCCTGATCCCCATTAGAACCTTAATGGAATCTTATCAACAGCTCAAAAAATCTTCAAAAGAACACAAAAATCTCAAGCAAAACTCATATGAGGGCCGTCCGTTATTGCCAGTGAAGGAATTTAGATGACATGTTAAAGCAAACATGTCGCGAAAGGGAAACTGCAGTCCGCGAAAGGCCGGCGATAGGACGGCGAAAGACATGTGCCAACCTAGACTTATAACATATAATGTGCATAATACATGACAATATATGACACATCCTTTTCCCGAAAGGATTTTCGGGAACGTGTCAATACATGACGAAACACGGATTTTCGCGAAAGGGCCGCGAAAGGCCGGCGGTAGGCCCGCGAAAGGGCGCATTGCCTGGAAGGGCATCTGCCCATCCATGGCCTTGAAACCTTTATTTCAATTATGAATTGACAAAGGGCAGCCTGCTTCTCAGCGCACTAAAAGGGATTTAGATATCCCAAAGACTGTGAACTCAGTGCAATGGAACAAGCTTATCACAATGCGCGAAAGGAAAACCTGTGGTTTTTCTGCAAACGCGAAAGGCATGCGAAAGGCCGGCGATACAAGCTCAAAAAGAACAGCTTTGTTGGACAATCCCCATATGCATTGTATATGCATTTCTTATGCTCACTTTAAACATATATGTCTTTTTAATATAATACATGTATTTTGATTAAAAATACATGTTTTATTCAAACCTGCATATAAACTGCATAGCGTTTGCGTATCATGTTTACATGTTTTCTTAACAGTTTATGCAAACTGATGACATACTCTGTGAATGCACCATTCATGAACTTGCTAGTTCAACTATTATTTCACAAGTAAAGCTGCTCAAGTACATGTAGAACTGATGCATTAAGTCTCTCAGGAAAAGCTTCCCAAGTACATATTGACATGTACAGCTCAAGTAACAGATTTCTGAAGTAAAGCTTCTCAAACCACAAGGTCGGCCCCTTTGCTCAGCAATTGCCCAGCTTCATGGTCAGCTCTCAGAAATCCAAAGGAGTTGGAAGTCTTCAACCTCACAATCAAAACACACTTTGTGTTGCATGCGCTGCAGCTGAGCCGGTTCATCCACCCTTTTCCTGTTTGGTGTTACAGGGGGGAATGCACCATGCACAGGTTCAAGCCCTTTGGAAATCATGCCTTCCTGGTTCAAAGCGCTGGCAAGCTTCAAAGAAAGCAGCCTACAAGGTAAGGCATTTGCTTTGGATTCAAGGCAAAATCTAAGGGCCAGCAAAAGCAAAAAGGCTTCAATGGTACCTTTGCAATGCTAGATGTATTTGTTGTACATATGATGTGAAGTGTTGATGAATGGTTTTGAGACACTCTTTTCTGAGTCGCCTTGTGGCCAGATTGTTGTGTAGAAGTGTGTTGACATTGCTTGTGTGAAGTATTGTTGCGATGGAAGTTGTTACAGATCCTTGCGAATGACTTGTGTTTCAAACCCCTTGTTCAAACAGTTCGTTGAAGTGCTTGTGGTGAGTTGTATTTCCAGTACTTGAGTTACTTGGGATCTTTAAAGGGACATGTGAGAAATCCCACTAGGAGTGGCAGAGTATGATTTTATGGCAGCTCACTATGATGTTTTTGTACAGGGTTGATTCGTACGCTTAGAAAAATTTGTGGAAAATATGTTATGTAGTTTATATGCTGTTTCTATGTTGTTTTCTTGTTCTTCCAAAATTTAGTTTAGTTGGCAATTTAGTCGCCAACTAAACTAAATTTTACAAATTTACTAAAATCAATGAAAAACTAAAATTACTACAAAAAGAGACTCAGGGTGTTCCTCTTGCCACGACATGGCTCCGAGATTTGTGCGCCGAAGGCATCGAGCCCAACCCGGGCCCGTCAGGTTCTTCTTCTAAACACATCTGTTGGTCCATTAATGTCGATGGGGCATCCAACGCGTTCGGGTCTTGTGATTCGATTGCAAAGTTGCGTCCTGCTATCGTTTGCTTTCAAGTGCTTAATTTTGACACCGCTCAGCGCCTTGAATGGCTCAATGACTGTCGCATTCTTTGTTACCGTGCCTGGACCACCCATGGGTCAAAGAATCTGTCGACTCCCGTGGCCGAGCCATACACTTTGGGCGGTGGCTATAGCAGTTTGTCAAGATTTGGAATGAGCGGCGAGGCAAAAGCGGTGACCTGATCACTGTCTCTATACCCAAAAGTTGACAGTCACATGCGTGTGGTGCGGTCCAGGCTCTGACGCTGACCACTTCATGGAGATCTTGACCCGGCACAAAGAAGGGAACCCCACCAGGGCGCCGGAACTCCACGTCCAAGTGCAATGGAACTGCTGGATGGTAGGTGAAAACATGGAGGAGTTCACAACGCGCGAAAGAAAAATTCAAGGCAAGAAACAGTAGGTAGTCAGATGCCAAGTGATATCAAAGTGGATCCGTTGTCAGAAAAAGGAGCTAGTGGTCCAATCTCCAAGTCGTGGCATCTGTCCAGATCAAAATGTTCAGGATGCCGCCCCTACTGCGCACAAGCGAAGGTTGTTGGGTCGAGGATACGCGGAAGAACTATACTTTGGAGATGAAACTGGGAATGTCCATCCAGAAAAACGGGATGAACAAGGGGAAATCCACCACTCCAGTCCAGTCGCTGACCCTTCCCCAAATTGGGACCCAAAAGGCCCCGACACTGACCCTTCCCAGGTCATGAGCCTTTCTACGTGGCGATCATCACACCAGTGATCCACTACTGCTGCTCGTCCCAGCGATGTGAGGAGAAAGGGGTGAGCCTGGCAGAGTCGGAGTGCTATGACGACGTATGAGCCCAGACACATGACCCTTTGTTTTGATCGGACGTTGGAGCATCTGGCTGGGCTGCTTGGTGCTCCAAAATGAAGAGCACAAAAAACTCGAGGCATAGCTAAACTCTGTGTTAACGGTGTGGGTCAACCACCCTGTTTCGTTTCAGAGTGTTGTTGGAGTCCACCTCTCTACAGTAAACCTTCCAAGTGCCTGGCGGCCCCCCGCAACGTCCGGCGCCACGTCCCTTTTCAGACTTTACAACGGGGGCTGCGACCGCTCCAAGAGCGGAACAACGGTTATAGACTGATAGACGACAAGTACACGCACAAAATAAGGGTCGAGCGGTCACAAGGGGGAACGACCCAAAAATAAGTTGGTATACCTGCTGTGTCAAGACCTGCTGTGTCTATTTCTTCGATCCTTTCTACTTCCTCATCCCGCTATACGGACCCCATGGGCGGCACACTCATCCCAGGCATGGGTGGCCTCCTGATCGACACCGACAGCGCCTGCGTGGGTCCCAATGACAAGGCCATCCCCGGACTCTACGCGGCCGGCGAGGTGGCGGGCGGTGTGCATGGGAACAACCGCCTGGGTGGGAACTCCTTGTGACTTGGATCAAGGCCCTGGGGGAGGAAGGAGACGCGCAATCTTTCTTCCAGTTTTGTGTTTGTTTTGTTATTTTTTTTTTCTGGAAGAGAGAGGTGATGGGGATGATGAATCTGTGGCACGTTTGTTGGGTGAAGAGTTTTAAGCGTGTAAAGTGGAGATTTGCTAAAATGATGATGGAAGTGGGTGCTGAGCCACTCCGGGCAAAAACGATGGATGGCGGATAGGTATCATTTTGAGGAGGATGGCATGGAGCTATCTTCGCACCGAAATTGTTGGGTGCTGCTTCCATGTTCCGTGTAAGGGGTGGCTCCAAGCCTACAGGCCAGCAACCCACACCACTTTCATGAGCATCCTAACTATTGCTAGCCCCAAACTGTCACCCCTTAAAACTGGAAGGTGCTAGACTGGCCGCTGCTTAAGCCATTTCATTTAGTTTTTGTTCTCATTGGGACTCCTTGCAGCATGATTCAAGTCCTTGTCATTGACAATGAAGGAACTACAACCCATATACTCCATCTACATGGATCCAGAAGCGCATCAACACGAGCCCCCCTGAAATCAATCAACCAAGAACACCCCCAGTGTCACCCCCAGTCGTTGAACGTATCGTTGTCTCCCACGGGTCATCGACAGGACCCCTCTCGAACCACTGAACCTGAGCCGGCTGAAGCGAGGTTGGACTGCGTGGTCTTTGGCCGTGTGGCGGGCCGGGCCGCCGCCAAGTGGCTTGGCGGGTCGCGGGGTTTGGCAGATCCAATGGAAGTCAACGGAAGTCGACGGAAGTGCCGGAAGAGGGTCCAGTTGTACCTTCTCAGGTCCAGTTGTTGTGGATTCTGTGGATCCCTGGGCACTGGTTTAGTGAGAAACCATCCCAGCACAGCCGGATCGTGTTGGTTAGAAGATGTTACAATGGAAGTTGGTGTCACCCTGAGATTTTGTTTCGTTGCTTTGTACATTCCAGACCAACATATTGCACCTCTTTCCCCACGATGTCGGGGCGGAACCTTGTGGGTGCGTCACACCGCAGATGTTCAGAGATGTTCTACCAGGTGCACTGCACTATGTCCCAGTTGTCCTCCACCTTACATGGCGGATGTCCTTCCCTTCTGAAGGCGGATGTCCTCACCTCTGACAAGCCCCCCACCATGGAACACCCTTTTGCAAGAACCCGCAGGTGAAAAACGGCCTCACTGTGGCACTGTTGTCCGCAACATGTTTCCCCAACGGTCGCCCGTCGTTCGTCTCTTTATTTTTTAAAGTGACAACAACTCAATTATACCACTCCTTCTTTCAGAATCCATGGTTACGTGGAGTGAGTTCACCAGCTGTTTGGTCATCTTCGATCGTGAGAATCATGTTTGCGAAAACTTTACTTTTTGTCTTCCGACGAATTAGGATGTTCTTCATGGCTTACATGGATCTTTCCGGTGGCCATGCCATCCACGGTCACCAGCCCAGTCGAGATCGATGTCCTGAGCTAGCCCAGTGTGAAACAGCTGTCGGACACCTGGGGGTTTCCCAGGTGTCAGCTGGACGAAGAACAGCCCACGTCCGACATATCCCGAAATCGACATCGGATGCTCTTAGGGTTGGAGCTTCATGGCTCAACTCTGGTCGTCTCAGGGGATGGTGCACTCACCCCGGATGGAACCCAGACATTCCATGTATATAAAGATAGGGCAGATAGTTTAACCTCCACATGACAACCACCCCCCCAAAGGTATGTCTTATACTTTGGGCGTGTTTGGGAGTGGTTCGCAGTGTTTCGTTCGCTCATACCGTACCACGAAGCCAGAAAGCAATGAATTTCGTTGGACCTTGCAAGGCATTCCAAATCACCTCTATAGAGGCTATTGATGGGACCCCAGATCCAAGAAGGGGTCCATCTGTCTCTTCCCTGTGACACCTCTTAAGTGAAGGTGCTATTTATGGACACCTCTTGGTGTCGGTCCGTCCGTTCTTGGATTCTCACGTTGTCGCGCTGATGACCATGGGCGAAGTCCTCCCAGACCATCGGTCCATGGCACAGTCCCGAACGGTTGTGGAGCCGAAAGTGCACTCGCTACATGTTTGTTTTTTTACAGCCATGTACAGTATGTATTTGTGTAACTATGTCCATCTAATGGTTAAAGGTATGATCCAAATATATCAAAATTATGAGATGTTGTCTTTTCAATCATTATCGCCCATCAGCACTGCAGTCCTTTGTTACATGTGTCAACCTTAGTCCTTGGGCCTTTCTTGGGTTTTCCCCTTCAAATATTATATACGTGCGAACAACACGGATCTGTTGCTTGCATCCAGTATATGCATATATGCATATAGTAACTATCATATAAGGTGTCATAAACGAGCTCTCTTTTTGGGTTACTCCGCTCTTTCCTGCGTGTTCTCTTCAGGTACATGCTGGGCGCGGACTTCAAGCCGGTGGACCTGCGCGAGGTCAGCGGCGGCGGCTTGACCGGCGCGGTGGAGAGCTCCAAGCCGCTGGGGCTCGGACGTGCGCGGAGGAGTGGGCGAGTTGGAAGGAAGACCGAAAAGGACTCTGTGGGAAGCCGGAAGTCGAGTCTGTTCTGAATAACATGTTGTTTGTTGGTTTTTGTCGACATGGATGAGTTTGGTAGAGTTTTTGCTTTGAGAGTTAGGAGTTGATTGATGGATCCGGTGCATTCGGGGTGCATTGGTAACCATTAGGTATGTGGCAGGGAAGGCGGGAATGTTTCCTTCTGTGCCATTGGCCATTGGTCATCATTAGTCATCATTCTTCGACGTCAAGGATCTGAAGGGTGCTGAGGGGTTCTACATCCCCCTTGCTCCAGCAGCAGAGAAAGCCGAACATCTCACAATACACCAAGAGAATTGCCAAATTGTCTGGAACCATTATAGCCATTGAGTGTATTTGTTGTATAAGAAAGTACAGATCATAAAATAGACCGGCACAGATTCTGACCGGAGTCTTCTGTTTTTGACAGATCTGTGACTCCTTGTATTGTTGGTTTGTTGTATCCGAAAAAAACAGATCAGTGAAGGGTCAGAATCTCAAATCCGGCACATCTGTGTTTGGAAGCACTCCTTATAGGCAGGTCTATAGGTTGAACAAGAAACACTTCCCACCCAAAAGCCACAGGGCAACAAGATATACTGTATAAATTAGATCGGACATGAGATGGGACGAACCAGATCTGTATGATTGGCCGGTCATTTGGATCACTTGAGGCTAGCAGGTGGCTCCTATGAGGACAAGATGAACTCGGCCACGACAGCAGCTGGCGCCGCTCCCATGGCGAACGGTGGCGCCGCCGGTGGGATGACTTTGGCTGAAGTGGCCAAGCACAACAGCAAAGCCGACTGCTGGGTGGTCGTGGATGGCCAGGCAACCGTGTTTCCACCGCACAGAGCGCGACAGTTTCCGGTGCGTTTGCCGATATCGGTGGGTGTGGTGACATCAGTGGACATCAGTGACGACGATCAGTGACAGCAGTGTTCAGTTGAGAAGAATTCTTCTCCCTCTTAAGAGCCGGGAGTGTTCGGAACAACAGAATGGACGGTCGCTTACAGGTCACCTACCGTGAGGTGAGGGGCAGTTTTGGTGCTCACTAGTGTAGTATTGGGCTTCCAGGTGCTATGACCCACAGCCAATTCAGGATGTGCAAGCAAGCAAGAGTTTTGAGCTGTTTGGTGCATGTTGGTTATGATTGACTGGAGACACAAACGACCAGGCTGGCTGAGCTGAGACCGGAGACCGGAGTGGACAAGAGAGCGTGCTCAGACCTTGGAGCGGACCTGGACCTTTCCTCTTCTTTTTTCACCAGAAATAGTGCTGGCTTGAACGAACATGGGTCACAGCAAGGTTCCGAGGGCCAGGTTCCGAGGATGGTGGCGGAGGTGAGGTAAGCTGGTCTTCGCATGGAAGAAGAAAGCACGGGTCATATGGCCTCTTTGTTAACCGTTGTAGCTCTTCCTCATGCTTCTGATTCCACCTTTCCGTTACCTCCTTCTCAACGCAGGCTCTCGGAGGGGTGTGAGTCTTCCGGGGTTTCTGTTTTGTCTTCTGTATCGTTGCCTCGCGCAGGTGTTGGACGTGACCAGCTTCCTGAGTGAACATCCCGGTGGAGAGCTGGCGATCCTCACCTTCGCCGGAAAGGACGCCACCGAGGAGTTCAACATGACGCTCGGATGTCCAGGCATGAAAACGCTTTCTGATTTTTCTTTTCAGGAGAAGTGGGGCGAGTGGGGAAGGTTCGGAACTGCCATGTTGAATGTGGGATAGCGAAGAGCATTGGCGAAGGGGTTCTTGGAGCATTGGCGAATCGACTGAGTGGAGCTTTGGCCAAGCATGTTTGGGTAGCAACGACCGCGTAAAGAAGACATAGCTTGGACAATCTTGGACATTTGATTTGTTGGGAGCACTACAATTACAGTTACAATTACTCTGTGCTATTTGCCCTTTTCAAGAACTCATAACTCGGCACCTACCCTGCCAGTTTCGTTTAGTTTCAGAGGAGACAGAACAGCCTTATGCTTTGTTGGGCAGTGTTCAGTGTTCTAGCGACATACCAACACTAGGAGTTTTTGCGTGTGAACAATTTGTATATATAAATGAGCAGACTAACACAAAGGCCTTGAGACGTATGATGTTCATGTAGTCCATGTGAGGAGAGAGACCGGACCTTGAGATACCGTCAGCTGTGAACAAGAAGGAATTATAGTTATATGGCTGTGGGTCATGGCACTGGCTGGGCCATTCCAAGTGGACCGAGCTTCCATCCTCCTGCGTCCTCCGTCCGAGCTACTTCCCTCGGCGCAACTCGCTCGACTCAAGGATCCACCCACCGGATGTCATCGGAAAATACGCCCCGGACTCCGTGATCGGTTCCATTGGCGGCGGTGGTGGAGCGGTGGCTGCCGGTGGCGGTGGCGGTGGCGGCGGTGGAGCTCCAGGCATAGGGTAACTGCTGTTGTAGAAAGCGTGTACACCCTGGAAGACTAACATGGACCCTGGAAGCCACTGGTTGGTAGAGGAAAACACTCTTCCAGGGGGCCAGCGGGCCAGGACGTCAGGGTCTATGTCAGTTGACTCAGGAGTGTAGTTCAAGTGGAAAGCCACTAATAAGCACAAGACGTGGAATGTGAGATGAAACGAGGAATACGTGCTTGGACACCCTCCCGTTTCAGTGAACTTCTGGTGATGCGTGACACGTGCTATGAGTCAGCAAACTCTGAGGATGATGGTTAGATACACCCCTAGGGCTCCAACCATATCCTCAGGTTCGGTGGTTAGACCCCCAAAACCCACCCCTGTCCCAGCTTCGAAACGGAGGTGGGCCAGGAGCCCAAACGGGCACTTTCGTTTCAGTCAACCTCAGGCGGAAGTGAACTGGAGTTGCCTTCAATCAGTCAACCTGGAATGAAGGAGAGCTCAGAATCAGCTTCAACCTTGGACTTCTCGGCCCTAATCACCTGGTACAAAAGGTCCCTCTGGTCTAGATCCTGACCAGGCTTTGGCCTGGACGCACCAGGCCGCTTTTTTGCGGCCCGCGTCGGTCCCGTTCCAGGCATTCCGATGACGGAGGTAGCGAAGCACAACAGCAAGACGGACTGTTGGGTGGTCGTGGATGGCCAGGCAACCGCCCGCGCGTCGCGAGCGTTTCCGCGCCGCGGAACGTTGAACCTGCGCAGCGTCGGATGTCGCGCTGGTTTGGTGTTTGCGATATGAAATCGGTCTTCTGGCCAGTGCTGGGCAGTTGATGCTTCCAAAATTGACACATCATTGCATATCATGTGTCGAGACAGAACAATCCGGGCTTTGAGGTAGGAAGGCCATCTTTGAATTGGCAGTCCAATGCTTTGGCCATCTCCAAGTTATTTCACATCACTTCACCGTTCACCGTTCGCCACATGGGGCTGTGGCTCGGAACCGGAACGGAACGGGACGATGGAAGCGCGAGACATGGGGCTGAGAGGTTCCTCCCGCACAACGCGAAGAAAACACAGAAATGCCATGAGTTGTTCGGACAAAAACCGGGATCAGCCACGATCAACGGGCTTCACACTTGTTCATTGATGCGCTGTGATTTGACCTTATTCTAGCAGCTCAGTAGCTTGGTTGCTGCAGTTTCGAAAGCTTACTTGCAGGTGTTGAGTTTTAAAGTTACTGCGAGAATGCATGAGAGTCCAACACAGTTCTTGTCCTTGAATCAGCTTGACCTTTCTTCTCCAAAAAATCTCCGGCTCGTGAGTCAGTCTTCTGGGAGGAGCTTGGGGGGGGCAAGCGAGGACGTTGATCCTTCACTTTCCGATGTGTTCGGTCTTTCTCGCAGTCCTTGGTTGATGTGTGTTCCTGCAACACGATGATACTATAAGTTTCAATGGACAAACACCACCCAGAACCTTCCCAGTGACCTCTTCAGGATTGGTAAGTGACCCTTTCAAGGCCTAAGTGACCTCATTCTGGAATCTGAAAAGGTCACTGGGAAGGTCCTGGACAACAACATCTGTAGGGTCGAATGGACGTATGCCACTCCAAATCTGTAGGGTCCGATTCCATAAGGCGGGTTCTGTGACTGAAACTGTCTGAAACTTGCTTGACTCCCACTGGATACGCCTCCAGGATGGTTAACTGTGGCACTTGTGGCAATCGCAGATCGTCTCTCAAAAGGGATATCTATATATTATAACATGAGGACATGTTCACCCCCGTTCAGAGTTTTTAACCAATGGCCCCAAAGTTCCTTGGATGAGTTGCTTGGACGAAGCTGAGGATGGCTTCGACCGTCCAGATCACGCCTTCCTCACCGTCTCAACCATCCGTTGTCTCATTCCGATCTCATCCGGACTCGCTAACACATCGGTTGGCTCCTGCAGGTGTTGGACGTGACCAGCTTCCTGAGTGAACATCCCGGTGGAGAGCTGGCGATCCTCACCTTCGCCGGAAAGGATGCCACTGAGGAGTTCAACATGACGCTCGGATGTCCGGACGCGCCGTCCGGGTCGGTCCACGCGTTCGAATCGGCTGTCACTTCCCGAGGTTTTGAGCGTCCAGGATGTTATGGGAATTCATCCCCCAGAAAAGACTAACATAGACAACCACTGGCTGGTAGAGGAAAACGATTTTCCGGCCATGTTAGTCTAGGCCATTTTTGGGGATATGCTCAATTCGCTCCATTCGAACAGGGACTTTCCATCAGGTTTTTGTCCTTTCTATCAGATTTTGGCCACGTCATACCCGATAAGCACTAGAAATTGGGAGACCTCAAGGCCATGAAAAAACACCAACGACCTGCAGTGATCCCTCCTGGGGAATGTGAACGGGTTTGATCATGGCTCTTTTGGTATCTTTTGGTGTTCCAATTCGGCCTCTCAGGTGGCTGAAGGTCACTCAACATCCATGGAAGGTCACTCAACATCCATGCCAAGCCTGCCGATTCCATGCTGAACTCATGGCATTGGGGTTGCATGTCGCTTTGTAGTCTATAATTCTTAGCACACCTTAAATCGTGGTTGTTAGGTGGAGGTTCGAACATGTTCGAACCATTAAAGAATATTAAATCAATATGGGTCAAGAATCCTACAAATTCATGTTCAAGCAATCAACCATGTTTTTTTTTTCACGATGTTTCACCATGTGTTCACCTAGGATCCATCCGCCCGACGTCATCGGCAAGTACGCCCCTGACTCGGTGATTGGCAACGTGGGCTCCGGCGTGGCAGTGGCGGCCGCCGGCGGTGCGGCCAAGGGAGGCGCTCCTGCGAGGACGTCCCGGTTGGTCGTGTGCTTCAGATCTAGGGATTCTTTCTCGTGGCCGCGACACCTGGATAGGTGAAGCAAGGTCTGGTTTTGACCCAGAGACCCCCAGGCATACCAGGAGCATCTTGTCTTTGTGTCCTGGACTACCCTACACCGCCTATATAGGGGTCTCCATTGAACACCTATTGTTGGATGGTCCTAGTATGTTTAGGTTCAACCTTTACTTGGGACGATTGATTGATCCCACTGACCCTTTCGTGAGTTGAAAACCACCAGAGGATGTCAGGTGGTCGAGCAAGGTTCAACTGCAGTGGAGCAAGGATGGCAGTTGGATCCAGGAGCTCATTGAATCTGGATTTGCAGAGTTAATGATTCCTTGCACCATTGGGTCCCTATAGCTCAATTGACATTCAGCTTAGCTGGATTTTTACTTTGGACATTTCAATAATCGGTTTCTTTGTTGTTTCCTACAAGTCTCAACCAGCTGCTGAATTTTCAGCTGCTCCTCATTTCTTTTACTGTGGATCCTTTAGGAAGATCATCACGATCGCACTCCGCAGGAAGGACAAGGGCGGCGCTTTGTCAAACCACCATGCCTGGGGTCATTTGGATGGAGCACAAACCAACTGGCGAGTCGACCTGGATGAGAACCCAGGCCGGACCGGGGTGAAAACGGTGACAGGTGGATGCTAAGCTAAGCACCGGTGTCACCATGTGTCTCCCTGTGTCACCATGTGTCACCATGTGTCACCCTCCCTCTCCGAAGGTGAGGACGGAGACACTGTTAGATGATATACCAGGACCTTCAGTTCGTGACCTCTTTGGAGTCTCTAAGTGACCTCATTCTGGGATCTCAAAAGGTCACTTTGAAGGTCCTGGTATATATATATATATATGTATATATTATATATATTATATATATATATATGTCTATGTCAGTTTTGAGGGTCCAATCGTACCTGACCTGAGACAGCATTTGGAATCCCCCAAAGGGCTCATTCTGTAGTGCCTCACACATGTTGCAATGCTGCTCAAAAGGGGGGCACACCACTGAACAACATCAAACAACCGTCCAAATACACTCATCTTTGTGGGTTCATGCCATTCAGGAACGAGTCTCGCGATGTCTCGCGGATGCTCAAATGGGAGCCCCCAAAGGACCGCCACGAGTCGTGTCACAGGGCGTGGCATTGGTTCGGAGACCCCACGGTCGTCCGCCCGGTCGTCTGGTCCAGACCCGGTCGGAAGTCGGACCGCCACGAGTTCGGAGTTCGCTCCCCCCCCCTTGGCTATGTCATTTGGACACAGAATCAGAAGTGGTCTAAGTTTCACCAGCAGACCACGGAAAGGAGGGTATATGGACACCTTTGACGATGTATTTGCCATCCAATAAGCACCCCTTCCGTGGTCCTGGCACAGGTGTTTTTATCCTCAACATCAAGTCTTACTTCAACGCCACCTGGTTCCTCGTGCTCGCCATCCTCTACGACGCCTGGCAAAGATTGGATCTGGGTGGGGAAATTGCTTTCTTGGCTTTCCAGTGAGAAGACCACCAAAGCCTAGTAGAACCCTGGAAGTCCAAGACTATGTTCAAAATGCTCTGACTAGGTGACCCCATTCCAGGAACTTCCTTTACTTCAGTGGGGCAAACTGGACCTTACTATGGAGGGGCAGTTAGTGTCAAGAATGCCATCCCACTTGATCCCCCTCCATCCCAGTGGATCTGAACATGGAAGCGGAGTTCACCCCCCTGTTTCTAGAGGATTTCATGGTCTTCCTTTCGGGCCCATTTTCCACAGAACCATGTGATTTCCATGCCGCTGGACGTTGACACGGAGCGAGTTCCTTTGGAGAAAGAAATTTGCCGCGTGTGCCCAGATGCTGGTAGACACACGAGGTCCTTCTCGAATTCCTGGAGGCCATCAAATTTAGATGCACAATCCCTGGAAGGATCAGAATGATCATGGTTACGTGGATGGCATGACCCCCGAAGGCTTAAAGGATGCCCAAATCCGAAGACCACACCTGCAGTGAACTCCACTTCCATGATGATTCCAGGGATTGTATCTATGTTGTGGGCAATCAGTAGTTCAACATTCCCAGTAATATTTGATCTGAGCTCAGTGGGACATTGGCCGCCAGGACATGATACCCTGCTCCACCCAGAAAAGTCCAGTTCCATTCCCTTCGGATGCCTTCTAACTACGGAGTTTGGCATTTGACTCTCGTGATTCAGACTCAGAAGGAGCAGTAGCCAGTCCAGTATTTGTGCTAACAGAATTTGGCCAAGCGCCCTGGTAGGAAGGGTAGTCCAGTCCACAGTCAGGTTCTTGGGACACAATGTCTTCATGTAACAGCTGGTTACCAACCAAGTGTGACAGGTACTAGTACCATGCACAGGCTCTCCAATTGAAGCCCACGTATTTTCAAGCCCCTTTGGATGGGCCGGGTAGATGCGCCTGAAAAGCACGAATCCATTCTTCCCATGTCCCAGTTGTGCTCTCCACGTGGAGAAACCACGTGCGACCAGGAAGTGTGCGCGACCATTTTCTCCGCTAAGAACATCAAGACCCTTGGAATATTTAGGGGTGAACAAAGATGAACAAACTGTCACAGAGTGAACATGAGTGAATAACGAATCCAAAAGACATCCTTCTAATGGCAAAGGTATTCTTTTGGTTCTGAACAAAGATCCCTCCCTCCCTCCTTTTGGGGTTTGAGCAAACATTTTGTCCATCAAGCGTTGTGTGAAGACACTTCTTGCAGCGGATTATATAGTACGACTGTGTTATATAATATAAATGTCCAACAGTATTGACATAAAAAACTATTTCTATTATTGTTTTTTATACTTATACTGTTATACGTACAATACATAATATATTTATATATATAAATTATATTAGATATATTGTCTATCATTGTTTTTATTTATCACATCATATCATATCTATATGCTATATCATATTACTTTATTGTGATACATTATAGCCTGGACTGGCACCTGTTTTTCGGCCAATCCATCTCCATGGCGCTTGCCGGCGCTCGGGCGCTCGTGCCGCATCGATTGGGGCAGGATCTCCAACGATCGATTGGGCTTGACGCGCAGCGCCATCTTGCTGATCTTGTTCATCGTGATCCATGCAGTGGGCAACCTCCACGTCTTCAAGGGCTCCTTGGACATAGGACATGGACAGCGCACGAGATCAAGGGCGGCAATCCCTGGGCTTATCCTTACGGTGTGTCCCAGGTTTATCCTTAAGGATCAATCGATTGTCACGAAATCCGATGTCTGCCTGCAAGCATCCATGATCGTGGGGGTTCCTGGGATCGACAGCTGCGCACCCGATGAAATCGACCAAATCGTTTGCTTATCGCTGTATTAATGTTTCATTTTTTGTTGGCCCGAGTCAGGTGCGAGCGTGTTCCTTTAACCCCAGCCACCGTGATCGAAGCCACCGGTGATCGAACACCTCCATTCAACGCCGAAGCATTGGACGTTTCTCGACGTTCTACGGCAACGTCGTCCAGGCCCGGACGACTTCAATGGCTACGGCTACTTCTACGTGCGGCTCTACTGGACGGGCTTTGGGCTGCCAGCCAACATCGTCGAGGTTGGAGATGGGGGTGGGGGGTGCCCGGCGGGTGAGCAGTGGTGAGGTAGATGAGTTTGGAGGCGAGTGTAGAGACAGATGGTGTGCTTGGCAAGGAGATTGACTGCTAGTTGAAAGCGATAAAGATAGAAAGGGAGTTCTGTTAATCTGTGTGATGTTCCTTTTGGCAGCCTTCATTCATGATGCGTTTCAGCTGTCCAGAAGGATCCAGACATGATCTTTGAGCTGAGCGTCGTATACCGTCGTCATCACCATGAGGTTCAATGTTTGGGTTTAATGTGTACTGCCCCAAGCTAGCCTTGCCGGCCAAGCCAGAACGTACCCCCATGTAGGGGATGGTCCCCAATTCCAAATGGCATGAAATGGCATTTCGAAGATCCAAAGTGGGTTTGGTCATGCAAAATCATTCTTCCATGAGGTTTCAGGAATTTCAGGCCAAGGTTTGACTTGGTTTTCAGGCCAAGCTCGGGGGACGTCGACCGGACCGTTTGCCCCCCCAGCTGGCGCTCCGCTTGACGTTCCGGTCTTGGGTGCTTCTGCTATGAGGAGTACATTTTGCTCTCCGTCTTGTTGCACGTCTTTGTGGGCCTGAAGAGGACCTGAGTAAAAACCAGTGTCTTCTTTGCTTTTCTTTTTCGTGCGGCTTTGGTCACTTTTAGTCGCTTTTTCGCTCCAGCCGGGGGAAACAACCGGAGCTGGTCGACATGGTCCTCGGGTCGGGGTCCAAGACGTTGATCGAACACGTCACAGTGGTGATTCACTTGATGTGGTGAGACCATTTTTGCATCTCTAAAATTGTATGGAGACAAGCGAGCCGAGGCCACACCACAGACCACACCAAGGCCACCAGCCACCGAGCTGTTTGCTGTTGGTGTTTGCCTCAAACAGTTTACTTGTTGGGGTTCTCTGATTGGAAAAAAGGGGCGAAAGCCACGATAGAACCTATGTCCGCGCCATCCGCCCTTTTTTCACCACCGGGGCCCGCCTGGTGCAGGTCGCCGTCTGTGTGTGTCCTGGTCCATCGCCTTGGGCCGGCCGAATTCGCGGGGACCTCCACCATCGGACCTCCGTCTTGACAAACATTTCTTGTGACACTCGCTCGTGGCTATGAATACAACAGTGATAGATTTGATATCATCCTCCCTGCGAAATAGATAGACACATTACAAGTAAACACTGCTCATGAGCAGCGGTTACTTTTAACAAATGCTCCAACATTAATATTCAGCGCATTTCGTCAAACAACATCCGTTCCGAGTGCAAAGAACACTCGGCTTGGAGGTGTCAAAATCTGTATTCCTAATGAGGAATCATAACACATTTGTGTAGGAGGGGCACCTGATCTGAACCACAAAGTGTCCACGCTTTGTCCGCGGCGCAATGCTCAGAAGACCAAAAGCATTGGTTCAAGGTGGCAAATTACATCCGGTCCTACAACAAAGCAACATCGTTGAAAAACCTCTGACCCTGACCCCTAAAAACATCGGAACAACAGTACCTCTGTTTGCGAACAAAACCGTCGGAGATCCATCAGGATGTTCTACAACGGAGGACGCATAGGTGATCCTGTCCCCCCCACAAAAGGCATTTGTTTACATTCTGTTCCCAAACAGGTGGAGGTTATAGGAATATAGCTATACAGTATACTATACAGACGCTTCCAACTTTGGAATTCAACTAAATGATGCCAAAAACTGTTTGGGGTCTATGCTGGTAGAGTGTTTCATCAAAAAGGGCCATGGATGTTGGGCAACACATGAGTCCGGTGAGAAATTCGTTCAGCAACGCATGAGTCTGGAAGCAACATGAAGCAACTACGAGTCCCTTGTTTCAAGTTTGGGCTACCTTGCTGATGGCCTGCTATATGTTTAGCATGTGCTTAACACTTAGGATCTGCAAAAAGCATGTGCCGTAGCATCTGTCATGATGTCAACCAGTGACTTGACCTGTGTCGAACGACCACGCGATCGTCAGGACCTGGGACATGAAGCTGGCGCTGGTGAGCAGTCAGGGCGTAGGTGTCTTGAACCTGGCCATCTCAGGCTTCTCAGCGATGTCAAGGGATCCAATGCCGATCCGTGGTAACGATGGTAGAACCTTTTGATCATCTTAAATCCATGGCCGATGGGTTGTTTGATGTTGTTTGTGCTTTTTGTTGTTGTTTCTTTTTGGGAATCAGTAACTAGCCCGGTGCTGTACTCCTGTGAGATGTCCTTTTCAACATGGAACACGATGAACAAGAAGGAAGAAGAAAGAAGAAGAAAGAAGAAGAAGGAAGAGGCTATACCTTGGGTCGGTCCTATTACCTGTAACAGTCTATTTTGGGACGGTCGGCCTGAACCATCATTATCCACTGGCAACCAGGTAGACTCGGATAGACCCAACCTATATCCCCCAAAAAAACCCAACCACTTGCAAGTCCGGACGGGCTCCTCACGCCATCCGCCGACCCGCGGAGCGCTGCCTCGCTGGCTCGAAGACCAAAAACAGGGATTAGTTTGTTGAGTTGGTCTCTTGCTTGTTGGGAGTGGCTACTTGTTAGGTCTACTTGTTATACCTATAGGACCTATCAGAACAATTAAGTTATCAAACCAACTAGATTCTCACCACTCATACGATCTTTAGCGCCCCAAAAGATCGTATGGAAGAGTTGCATACATTTTCCGGGGAAAAGAGGTCGACCTTCACTTCCGATCCCGCCCAGACCTCTCCGCACTCCTATCTCGCTCAAGTCACTTAGGAGAATGCACCAGAAACCTGCTTGGCCTTGAAAACTCCTTCTGGCCTTGAACAAAACCGCCCCAAAAACATCCCCCAAACGCCATACTTCACTCCTCCAGCGTGTCTGCAACCCGCTACACAGCTTCCCGCGTCGGCGGGGAACCCGCGCGGCGTTGGGGGCGTTCCTGGCATCTCAGGTTTGATGTTGTTGACCTTCATGACGATCCACCTCTTCCAGTTCCGCTTCGGCGACACGGAGACCTGGCCTGCCGGGCGCGGCGGAAGGGCGAAGCGTCGACCAACAGTGCCGGGCTTCGTTCGCGGTAACGTTCACGGGATTCGGGTGAAAAGAGAGGATCACCCGGAGGTCACCAGTCGGGGGTGGCGTTGAGTCACTAACTTAAGATCGGCACCCGGAGTCTCCGTTCATTCGTTCGGCACCCAACTCGGAACCACTGGCAGGGTTGAGGGTTTAGGATGCTTTAGGGTTCAGTTCCCCCAAGATATCTGGAACTCCGTATGAATCCGCTTAGGAGAACGGTTTGGTTCAAACCGTTTTGAAGTGTTGGCCCAGGTGCCCAGAGAAAAAACGGTCACAGCCGTGATCGAGACATATCGAGACCCCTCCATATGAGGGTGCCGGGTCGCGTTTGGGGAGGACAAGTACAAACCCTAGGGATCCAGTCGTACCTTCTCAGTGGGTACGACTAGACCCTCCTGGCACCTACATAACAGTGTCGAACACATCACCGTACCTGAGAAGGTACTTGGATCCCTAGGGACACATAAGGTTGCTCTTTTTCAACTCTTGTGGTCCAGGATGAAGAAGACGCAGTCCACACCCGAATGTCTCCACTGATTCTTGTTCATTGTTATTGTTGTAAGTGCTGTAAGACCCCAGACAAAGATGAGCAAAACAGGGCTTGGAATCGACGATGGACATGAGACGATGGAGACGTCACTGGAACCCTATCCCATGACCTCGAATAGGAACACCCTAGGGTGGCTGGTCTTGCTTTGGCTCCAAAACATGACTGAGGGTTTTCTCCCGATGGCTTGGAACATGTGTCGCTCCGAGGATCAGTTCGGGCCTTACTACATCCGCCCCCCGCCACTTGGAGACCCGAGTTCGGAAACGACCCGGCACCAGCGTCATGCAGAGGAGGAAAATGGTTTGATTGCCGAACAACGTATGAGTTGTAGCTTTTAGATGCTTTTAGTATTATATACCCTAGAGCTCCTGGCCCACCTCCGTTTCGAAGATGGGACAGGGGTGTGTGTCAGGGGGGGTCTAACCACCGAACCTGAGGATACGGTGAAGTCGCCCTATAGGGATACTATAAGATAGGACTTGAGACTGCAAGAAGAGGTCAACCAATTGTTGAGATGGTCTCATTGGGCCAGCTGAGGGTCCCACACTCACGACTGCATGGGTCCAACGTTAGTCATGCGCCACATGAGCACCATATGATTGGTCAACAGTCTACATTGCAGGGGCTCCCATTTGGTCCCAGTGTTTGTTTGCAGGTCCTACACGGAGCAATTCCTCCTGTACAACGACTACATGGACCTTAGGTAACAGTTAACTAGAGGTGATTTTCAGGGCAAGCGACACAAAATTTGCGTCAAACTCTTTTGATATCTTGACTTTCTTCGTGGATCAAATCAGTTTGCCTCCATCCACTACCTAGACATCCTCACTCGTTGCCACCACTACCACTTCCTGGCGACGATAGGGATCCGATGTGTTCCTGGCCATGCGTCGCGAAGGCCACGAGCAGCTGTGCTGCTGGTGTTAGAATCCACACGGTCCTACCATGGTCCGACAATGGTCCTACGTGCCATTCGGGAAAAGAGAAACCAACATCTCCAGTCAGCTGGTCCGACTAGAATCCAAAATGGAAGAAACGAATGACGAAGCTCTCCTCTCCACGCCACGAATCTTCGTTCTTCAGATCTGCAGGCCATATCTCATCAACTTCTGGGGTATTCTGTCCCTGAACCTCTTCTGGACGGACGCCTCCTATGTGGAGCCGGTGGGTGTGCGAGACATCTATGCCGCCCGGTGGGGAGGAAAGAGATGGTGGATGACTCCCTCAGAAGGGGTACAGAAGAGCGTGAGACAACGTGAACATACATATCATGGAACCTCCAGAATCAGACAGATCACAGAATTTCCCGAGGTTATTTATGTAAAGGAGCAGGGGTCCATGATTGCAAGGCAGTCCCTTAGTTTACATGTCCAGGAGACAATCCTTTTATTTGACCCTGTCAGCCATGCAGGAGCCATGTGCAATTGGTCGCTACTGACTCAAGTTACTCGTAGCTCTTGTTCCAAGGGGGGTTGATGGCTGCAGCCAGTTCCGTGATCAAAGAGGTTGCAGTTGCCAGGGTTCCAGAGCCCAAGCGACGGGGACATTCTGCAGATCCTTTTCATTCGACAAGCCGATGCCTTGTTGTTTGTGTGTCTTTTGGTTCCATCTCTTGTGTTTTTTTCTAGATTGATGGGAGTTTGGCGATTTGTCGCTATTGATGTTCTAAATGAATCATCGTGACATATTCAATTTTCCTAGATAGACATCACGTGTTTTCACTGAAAGATCTGGGATGGCTCTTCAGAAGTCAGTCTTCGAATCCGAATCCTCGTTGTCCTTTTTTGAGCGGTCCGTTGCAACAAGGCCCTGGAATTCCAGATCTTCAAGAACCCATTGCAACTTGGCATGGGGAAGGTGATTGCAGAACCTTCTGCAAGAAACACATGACAACAGCTGGTTCCCAGTTCCCTGTGGGTCGAGTCCCGAAACAGCCTGTTAGTAGTAGTAGTAGTAGTAGTAGTAGTAGTAGTAGTAGTAGTAG